GTATGTGGCACACACTAGATCCCCTGCTCAGGGATTCACCCACAACTGCTGGATAAGGAGCATCTAGGGTCTGGGGTGGTACTACAGGAGATGCTGGCTAGCTCTGCTGTAACCACCTGTAAAATAGTTCCAAGAAGTTGTCCTCGGTTTCTCGGCTCCATTGGGCATCCTGTACATCCCTAACCCTATCCCAGTTCAAATCTCCTAAAAAAAAAAAAAAAAAAAAAAAAAAAAAAAAAGTTAAAAAAACCAAACCAAGGATTGTCACGGACTCCTGGATGCAAGACTGTGTGAGGATGCATGTTGGCTGGCTGTGGCTGTTTTGAGGGACCCAAAACTTCAACAACTCCTAAGGGGGTAGTGCTACACACAAGTACAGCTAGAGGCACTGTCCAGCCCCATCCAGCTGCAGCCACTCAGTTTGAATAGTCTGGGGCTGGATGGTGCACCTACACCTTCTGCTTGGCATGCATGAGGCCATCATTTCCTTTGATATAAAAAAAAAAAAAAAAAAAAAAAAAAAAAGAAAAAGGACGCAGCTTGAGCAGAAAAGCCTGTTGCCTGCCAGCATGCTGCAAAGAAGGACCCTTCTCTATGGAAGCAGTGGTCTCTGCAGCACGAAAGAGAAAAAGAAAGAGCTCGAAAGAGAGGGGGGGGAGAGAGGGGGGGGGAGAGGGAGAGAGAGGGTGGAGAGGGAGGGAGAGAGAGGGTGGAGAGGGAGGGAGAGAGGGTGAGAGAGGGAGGGAGAGAGGGTGGGGAGAGAGGGAGAGAGAGGGTGGAGAGAGAGAGAGGTGGGGAGAGAGGGGGAGGAGAGAGAGAGAGAGGGGGGAGAGAGAGAGAGGGGGGGGGGAGAGAGAGAGAGGGGGGAGAGAGAGAGAGAGAGAGAGGGGGAGAGAGAGAGAGGGGGAGAGAGAGAGAGGGGGAGAGAGAGAGAGGGGGAGAGAGAGAGAGAGGGGGGAGAGAGGGAGAGGGGGGGAGAGGGGGGAGAGAGGGAGAGGGGGGGGAGAGAGGGGGGAGAGGGGGGAGGGAGGGGAGAGAGAGGGAGAGGGGAGGGAGAGAGGGGGAGAGAGAGGGAGAGGGGTTTTGGGAGAGAGAGAGGGGGGAGAGGGGGGGAGAGAGAGGGAGAGGGGGGGCGAGGGGGTGAGAGAGAGGGAGAGGGGGAGGGAGGGGGGGAGAGAGGAGAGAGGGGGAGGGGGTGAGGGGGGAGGGAGGGAGGAGAGAGAGAGGGGGGGAGGGAGGAGGGAGAGAGGGAGGGAGAGGGGGGAGAGGGGGGAAGGGGGAGAGAGAGGGGGAGGGGAGAGAGGGGGAGGGAGACACACAGAGAGAGAGGGAGAGAGGGAGGGGTGAGGGGAGAGAGAGGGGGGGAGAGGGAGGAGAGAGGACAGACAGAGGGAGGGAGATGGAGAGAGAGAGATGGAGAGAGAGAGAGAGAGAGAGAGAGAGAGGAGGAGGGAGGGAGAGAGAGAGAGAGAGAGAGAGAGAGGGGCAGGCAGGGAGAGGGAGAGGGGAGAGAGAGAGAAAGAAAGAAAACAAAAGAGAAAGAAAGAAAGAAAAAGTAAAGAGAAAAAGAAAGGAAGGAGGAAGAAGAGGGAAGAGAAGAAGGAAGATCAGGAAAGCTCCCTGCAGAGAACCATCCCTGTACAGAACGGAGCGGCTCCCTGCTCAGAGAGACCACTGCTTCCACACAGCATGTGAGGACCCTTCTCTGCAGCATGCTGGCAGGGGACAGGTTTCTTAATGCAATCTGTGGCTGCTTTCTATGGAAAAGTGCACATTTTTTACATTTCCTGTTCTCATTCACCCGGATTAAATCTAAACTAAAACTTTAATCAGGCTGTAAGTAACTCTGAAAGTTCAGTTGAGCTTTAAAATAAGGGCAATCAATTATTTATTCCTTTGTAATAAAAGACTCCTTGGTGTCACCCACGGGCCTCCGGAACAGCAGCACGCCTCACCAGTTTAGATCTTCTTCGCAACAAGCTGCAGGAGGAGAAAAAAAAAAAAAAAAAAAAAAGCACAGCCAGCCCACGGAGGAGTCTGAACTTTTGTGAACCAAAGAGCTGACAGTCCATACAACTGCCAAGTAGTCTTTGGACATTCTGCTATTGGTGAACTACAAGTCCCAGTTCCTGCTCTGTATTCTCTACATATCTATTCTCAGGGATTTATTTCAGCGGCAGCGCAGTTCCGGCACCTCCAGCACTGAATGTATGTAATGGCAAGGGAAGCTGGGGTATGCAGAAGGGCCTATTAATGCTGGTTGCTGGGGAGGGAAAGATCTATTGTTGTGGAGGGGGGTGGGGGGAGAGATCTATTGTTGGGGGGAGATCTATTGTTGTGGGGGGGGCAGAGATCTATTGTTGTGGGAGCCAGAGATCTATTGTTGGGGGGGGTGGAGATCTATTGTTGTTGGGGGGATCTATTGTTGTGTTGTGTTGTACAAATTCCATACAAATCACCTGTCTGTTCTGCTTTCTAGGTATGATGACATCAGCCATTCTCTTACCGTGTAAAGTACCACTTTATTCTGTACTCCAGGGGTTGCCTGTATCCTGCACACGTCTCAGACATGTTACATTGTATAGAACACGAACATTTCTGTCTCCCTCTATAGCAAGGGATTCCAAACGTTAACAAAAGGGACAGTTTACTGTTCAGACTTTTGGGGGGCCAGACTGTGGCCAGTGAGGGAAGAAAAATGCCCCCGGCATCAACAGAAGTAACCAACTCTTCTGGCATGGTTATCAGTGGGCGTAAGAAAATTACATAGCACCTGTGGTCAGCAGGAAGAGAAATAATTCCCCGTCATTTTGGTGTCACTGGGAGGAATACTGCCCCTTCGTTGGTGACAGTAAGACAGATAGTAGCCCATTGTTAGTGTCACTGGGAGAAATAGTGGCCCATCATTGGTATCAGTGGAAGAATAGTACCCCATCATTGGTGCCAGTTAGAATAGTGGCCCATCATTGGTACTAGTGGGAGGAATAGTGACCTATTGTTAGGGACAGTAAGAAAGATAGTGCCCCATCATTGGTATCAGTGGGAGGAACAGTGCCCCATCATTGGTGTCAGCGGGAGCAATAGTGCCCCATCATTGGTGTCAGCGGGAGCAATAGTGCCCCATCATTGGTGTCAGCGGGAGGAATAGTGCCCCATCATTGGTGTCAGCGGGAGGAATAGTGCCCCATCATTGGTGTCAGCGGGAGGAATAGTGCCCCATCATTGGTGTCAGCGGGAGGAATAGTGCCCCATCATTGGTGTCAGCGGGAGGAATAGTGCCCCATCATTGGTGTCAGCGGGAGGAATAGTACCCCATCATTGGTGTCAGCGGGAGGAATAATGCCCCATCATTGGTGTCAGCTAGAGGAATAATGCCCCATCATTGGTGTCAGCGGGAGGAATAATGCCCCTCACACTTGTGGTCATTGGGAAGAACGCTCCTCACACTTGTGGTCATTGGGAAGAACGCTCCTCACACTTGTGGTCATTGGGAAGAACGCTCCTCACACTTGTGGTCATTGGGAAAAAAAACGCTCCTCACACTTGTGGTCATTGGGAAGAACGCTCCTCACACTTGTGGTCATTGGGAAGAACGCTCCTCACACTTGTGGTCATTGGGAAGAACGCTCCTCACACTTGTGGTCATTGGGAAGAACGCTCCTCACACTTGTGGTCATTGGGAAAAACGCTCCTCACACTTGTGGTCATTGGGAAGAATGCTCCTCACACTTGTGGTCATTGGGAAGAATGCTCCTCACACTTGTGGTCATTGGGAAGAATGCTCCTCACACTTGTGGTCATTGGGAAGAACGCTCCTCATACTTGTGGTCATTGGGAAGAATTACCCCCCACACTTGGGGTCATTGGAAAGAATGCTCCTCACACTTGTGGTCATTGGGAAGAATTACCCCCAAAAGATCAATGGTGTCAGTGGGAACTTTCCTGAGAGGCAGATATTGCTCAAGGAACCCACCCCACCCCCCAAAAAAACAAAAACAAAAAAAAAACAGTTTACTATGCTTCAGCTATGAATGAACACCGTGAGTAATCAGTACCGGTCATCAATTGTGTTTATTCAGGAAAGGAAGAGACAATTATTGGAACTGATCCCCTGTATGGCACCCTCTACAGCAGCTGAAAGCCAGCGGGAGGGAGAGGAGGAGAATCCGGCTTTCAGCTGCTGCAGAGAGAAACCGTACAGGGGATCAGTTCCAGTAACTGCCCCCCACACTGTGCTGATCACCTTCCCTGCCCACATCTGATTCACATATCTGCCTGGGCCCCCCTGCTGGCCCAGGCCCCGTACAGGAGGACTGATGCTACCCCCTTATCCACGGCCCTGCTTGTTCATTTAAAACAGAGTTCCACCCAAAAGTGGAAGCTCCACTTTTCTGCCCCCCCCCCAACCTCCGCTGCCACATTTGGCACCTTTTGGGGGGGAAAAGCAAGTACCTGGTTTTGACAGGTACACTCAGCAGAATGTTCGGCACCCCCTGCAGCCCTCTGGGACACATCCAAGGTCCCAGAGGACTGCAGCCCATTCACAAAGTGGAACGCACTTCGCGCATGCGCAGTAGGAAACCGGCAGTGAAGCAGAAAGGCCAGCACACTACAGCCAATTGAAAAATCGGCTCGGGGTGAGGACACCGCTGGATGCATGGACAGATAAGTGCCCTACTAATAAAAGTCAGCAGCCACAGTATTTGCAGCTGCTGCCTCTTCATTTTTTTTTGGGGAGCCAGAACTCCACTTTAAGCTTTGCCAATAAAACCTGGAAGCTGATTGGTTCCTATGCACAGCTGCACCAGATTCTGCACTGTCCAGTTTTATTAGATCCCCCCCATGGAGGCAGCACGGTTAATTTTTTCATTTGTCCAATAAAAGTTTGCTCCACTCAAAACTACGAATTTATGTAACCAGTATTTCCAGTTGCACTTCTAAGGAAGGCCATATGCCATTTTTTTGAAGGTGTGTAATTGGCTCATATTGTGGACACTCACCAGCTGTTTGTTGAAGTTTTGCACACATTGTTCGAACTGCTCGTCTTTCGTCTCGTCTGCTTTCCCCAATTTCTGGAGGACCTGAAGAAAAAAAAAAAAACACCCAAAAATCAGGAAATTCCGTAAAGTACAAAAGGGAAGGAGGACAGATTGTGTAGTTTAATTTCCGTGCTGCACATCGCATTAATGACTTATTGGAGCTGCAGGCACAATGTCCTTTGTGCAGCAGAACAGAATGATCCTCATTTAATAAATGATGCTGGAAGGGTACGCCAGGTACCGCACAAGACGACTCCTCTGCCAAATTACTGTCCGTGCTCATTTTACAAATTCTGACAACTGATCTGTTAGGGTGACCACATACTCTTATGACAAAAAGGCAAAATGGTGCACCGAAAGGCTCCTCCTTCCACACTTGCACCCAAATGGGTCCTCCATGCAAAGGAATTGGCATCACGCCATAAGTGCCTTCAGCTCATCCGTTTTCAAGAAGATAAAGTAACATACAAATCTCTGTGTGCAACAAAAACTGTATCCAAACACCTGGGAAACTCTTGTGCGCACCCAGGATATGCACACATAGTCCACGTCTTGCTTGATCATCACAAGCTATGGCCCAGTTGGGGCAGGACTTGGCAATGGCCAACCACTAGGCATGAGCTTGTGTTTGGTCTGAACCCATGTCTGGCCAAACCCAGAAGGAAGCTGTCAGTGATCAATACATCAAATTAAAAAAAGAAAAAAAAGAAAGTTGAGCAGCAGAACTACAGCCAGCCCCATGCTGAGTCCCTGACACATCTTATCAGCTCAGTGATGGCTGCAACAAAGTGGAGATTTGTAACCACTCATCACTTGGCACTTATCACTTGGCAATGTCCAACCGCTAGGCATGAGACTGTGAAGTCTGAATCCATGTTTGTCCAAAACGCAGAAGGAAGCTGATAGTGTGGGCCCAATCAGCTGTAGATGGGTCACAAAATGGGCAGGGGTGCTTTTGACATCATTGACCCAATTGGGTCACACTGACAGCTTCTTTACAGAAACTGTCCATGTGGTCAAATTAGGCCCCGATGTGGCTGGCACTGATAGTTTTCATCGTTCAGACTGAACTCAAGCTCATTCCTACAGACCACCCATAAATACAGAGGTATGCAAAACACAACTACTCATATTAGTCTCTTCCCCAGAGAATTCAACCCCCCGCCCCAGAGCAGTCCACCTTCTAGCCCATTCTACCCCCCCCAGAGCAGTCCACCTTCTAGCCCATTCTACCCCGCCCCCAGAGCAGTCCACCTTCTAGCCACTTCTACCCCCGCCCCCAGAGCAGTCCACCTTCTAGCCACTTCTACCCCCGCCCCCAGAGCAGTCCACCTTCTAGCCCATTCTACCCTCACCCCAGACGATTCTACCTGCTAGCCCATTCCACTCCCGCCCCCAGAGCAGTTCTCCTTCTAGCCCATTCTACTCCCACCCCCAGAGCAGTCCACCTTCTAGCCCATTCTACCCCCACCCCAGAGGATTCTACCTTCTAACCCATTCTACTCCCACCCCCTGAGCAGTCTACCTGCTAGCCCATTCTACCCCTGCCTCCAGAGCAGTCTACCTTCTAGCCCATTCTAACCCCGCCCCCAGAGCAGTCCACCTTCTAGCCCATTCTACTCCCGCCCCCAGAGCAGTCCACCTTCCAGCCCATTCTACTCCCGCCCCCAGAGCAGTCCACCTTCTAGCCCATTCTACTCCCGCCCCCAGAGCAGTCCACCTGCTAGCCCATTCTAACCCCGCCCCAGAGAAGTCTACCTACCATACAATTCAGTAGATTGCCTCAAATTAGGGCTGGATAGGTTTCTAAATGTACTAAAAATTTACTAGAAAAAAAAAAAAAATTATAAAAACCAGCACTGGAGATTGTTAATCCAAGAAGTGTTAATTACTTAGGGGAATCAGGAAAACCTTTTTTTCTCCCAGCTAGAACAAACGAGAACACCACAGAAGGATTTCTTTTTTTTTAACCTTCATCTGAATCAACTGAAGAAAGGATTAGGGTTCTGATAAAGAAAAGTTTTCATTTTTGTCTTCTGGTTATGGTTGTAACTATTCAGCCCTGACTCTAGAAGAGCATACAACCTAATTTACCATCACAGTGGCAAAATATTCATATTACAAAGAAATAAAATAAAAGGTGCTTCAAATACCCCATTCACACTTGTGCGACTTGTCATGGGGCTTTGAACATCAAAGTCACATGACAAGTCGTACCCCATGTTTTCCAACGATAACCATTGATATGTGTACAACTGAAAATTGCAGGGACTTCAAGCAGTTCATGCACTACATTGGTTTGACTTTAATGTGACTTGAGGGCTATAGACGTTAAGGTTAACCCTCAAAAGTTGTACGAAACGTCATACCTGAATGTTTTACATGCAACAGCAAACCCAAGTTGCACCCATCCAAAGTTGGACTCCAAAAAGGAACTTAAAATGTATATTATCCCATTTATATCAGCTAACAATCTACTGTCTCCCAACCACAGTCACCCACTGTTATGAAGTGTTACAACCACGACATGGTCTTCAGCAATGAACATCAATCTCTGCCCCAGAGCAGCCTACAATCCAGTGTTCCCACCACTTTCAAACTTCTGGTGCAAGAAGAAACCAGTCAACCCACTGGTATATTTTTGGTAGTGAGAATCCCAAACACCCAAAGGAAACCCACAAATATGGATAAAGCACACCAACTCCATGCACATCCATGGTGGGAGCTAAACCTATTGCTCTGGCAGGGGCGGACTGACTATTTGGAAACTTGGGCACTGCCCGAGGGCCTGGGGTCAGTAGGGGGCCCCATGAGATGCCCCGGTACCTTTTTCATAGGCTTTAAAGGACACAGAGGCCCCATGATCCCCTATTGCCCGGGCTTTAAAGGACACAGAGGCCCCATGATCCCCTATTGCCCGGGGGCCCCATGAGTTGTCAGTTGGCCCCTGTGCTCTTTGCTTTGTGAGGCAACATTCCCGAGAGTACCACTGTGTTGCCAGTTGTGCTGTGACCCAATGTATAAAGCTGGCAGAGGGAAGGGTTCTATCTGTGGAAACCCAGAACCTATTTGTTTTGAACAGATTAGAAAACAATTAAAGGCCAGCTTCCCACAAAGAATGATATTTACAGTTTGACTCAGGGGAACCAAAAAACCCCCCCCCCCCCCCAAAAAAAAAAAATCAAAAAGACACTACTGCTGCAGTTGGTTTATCCCAAAAAAGGATTAAAAATGTTAATTTATGGCTAGGTTACCAGGAAAAAATTACTTTCTTACCTACTTTCTAATGCTTCAGGTTGTGGGTGGACCCTCAGCGTCCTCACTTAGAAAGAACTGTTGATCCTGCATTGTACATGAGGTCACAGCTGCAACCTCCGACCAAAGTGCTGAAGATAAGGGGCTTCAAGAGACCAGTCGCGTGGAAGTGAAGGATATGATAAGTAAAAAGTGCTTTTTCCTGGTACCCTGGATAAAAGATGAGCCTTTAACCTTGCAGTGCAGGGGAAGACCCATTGCAAGGGTAGCATTTTCAGTTCCCCTTGGTGAAGCTTTAGGTTTTGGGCAGGCATGTCTACATTGAACCACTCTTTAGCCATCAGCTTCTTCCATCTCTTGCAGACTCACGTTGAGAGAAGATTCCCCACACTAGTAGGAGATAGGGTGGAGAAATCTGACAAACAGAGAAGCTTTACTTTCCCATAGAAATCTTTCCAATGGAGACAGAGAAAATAGTTTTTTTGGGTGGAGATGTCCTTTAAAAATAAACCCATGGGGTTGTTGGTTGCTGCAGGCTACACCAGTGCCCTTTGTACCATGAATCTCAAAGACATAATTTGATCATTTTAAATCAATCATTGGGCTGACTTTTCGAAGGGGTTGGTACATCAAATTAAGAAAATAGGAAAAAAAAAAAAAAAAAAAAAAAAAAAAAAAAAAAAAAAAAAAGGTCCTCCATGCAAAGGAATTGGCGTGCCATCAGCTTTCAAGAAGATAAAGTAACATACAAATCTCTGTGTGCAAAAACGGCTGTTTCCAAACACCTGAGAAACTCTTGTGCGCACCCAGGATATGCAGACATGGTCCACTTCTTGCTTGATCATCACAAGCCATGGCCCAGTTGGGGCAGGTCCTGGCCATGTCCAACCACTAGGCATGAGCTTGTGTTTGGTCTGACCCATGTCTGGCCAAACCCAGAAGGAAGCTGTCATTGATCGGTACATCAAATTAAAAAGGCAGCAGAACGTCAGTGCCAGCCCCATGCTGAGTCCCTGACACATCTTATCAGCTCAGTGATGGCTGCAACAAAGTGGAGATTTGTAACCACTCATCACTTATCAGTACTTCTATGGGTGTTGAGTTGTCTCGCTTAAAGTGCCCAGGAAGAATTTTATAAAATCAGAAAGCAAGGACTAAAAATGTTCCCGATATCAGGGCCCATTCACACAAAACACGCGTTCCCTCTACACACGGTATGTGGCTGTCCTGCGCTTTGCCAAAGTTCATTTGCCCCCAACAAACATCTATAGTACGCTACAATGTACCGCAACACAATGCACAGATCCATATACTCCGTGTATCGCACTGGGAAAAGTTTGTGAAGGACGAGTTCTCATGTGTAGACATTTGCTGGATGCACCCGTCTACAGGACAAACCAGAAGAATATCTCACAGGGTAGATTTTAGTAAACAGGCAATAAATGGATTGTGAATGGCAGATACCTCGGCCCACATTGCACCACAAGGGCCCTGGAGCTAAATTTCAGACACATTAAGTAGAAAACAAAACACACATGACCGGATGCTGGGACAGGGAGAGTCTGGGGTACAGGGTGAATGCTGGCACGGGGAAGTCTGGGGTACAGGGTGAATGCTGGCACGGGGAAGTCTGGGGTACAGGGTGAATGCTGGCACGGGGAAAGTCTGGGGTACAGGGTGAATGCTGACACGGGGAAAGTCTGGGGTACAGGGTGAATGCTGACACGGGGAAAGTCTGGGGTACAGGGTGAATGCTGGCACGGGGAAAGTCTGGGGTACAGGGTGAATG